CCTTCGGGACTCTAAAAGTGTCACTTTAATAGGGGTGTCCTCTGAAATAATGGTCCCCTGAATAGGGTTACCCCTATTCAGGGGACACTAAACAAAATGTGAAATCGTCCTCTTAGTAAGAGTTTTTGGCATGTTTTCGTATAATGATGTCACAGATTTTTATAATTTTATTTTAATTGACCTAAGAATGAGTTTAATTATAACTAATTTATAACAATAATTTGAAATGCAAAAAATAATTCATTTAAGATATAAAATTAACAGATATGTAACTACAAAATTTGTGTACGTCCCGATATTTTTTCTTTATTCGAGTGTAATTTAATGACAAAATATTGTTTTTAATATTGAGCTTTCTATTGGATGTACAAGATAGAATACTATAATAGATGTTACAAACTCAGAAATCAGGGTGCAGGCTGTCCGGATAATCCTATATCAAAATACACAAAACAAGAAATCTCCATGGTTAATGGCTGTCTCTTATACACATCTAGATGTGTATAAGAGACAGTATATATATATGCCTATATATATAATAATAAAAGTGAATATTATTATTGATATGATGGTACTAATTGCTTTACGCAAATAGTACCACTTGGTGGCTTTTGTAGCTTAATACACCTGTTAACGTGAATTACTTTTATAATACAAAATAATGTTGTTAAACACAATTTTAAATCCACAAAAACTGATTCATCAGGATTGTTTACAATGCACGGAATATTAAAACAATTTGGCCTAAATGCGGTACTCACATTATTTCTCTCAATCTTAAATTGTACAGGGCACGAGGAAACACAGTTAGGCTGTTCTTGGATAGCATCCTTGTTAAAGAAATTTAACATAACATATTTAAATATAATAATACTAATTATATTGTGTCAAAGGCAAAAGAAAGTCTAACAGAACAAAGATGACAGATTTACAAAAATAAAAAATATCATTAGTCAATTTAATAAAGGCAATATATACCAATTCATTTATTCAATGATTATGGTGATGTAAAAAGGAATAATTCTGAACATTATTTAACATAATGTGGGCCTATAGAATATAAACGGTAACTGATAAAAAATACTGAGAATGAAAAAGTCACCCTGATCGGGATTCAAAGTTGATTAAGCTGGTACATACAGAGGCCTTAACTAACTTTATGATTTGCATGGTAGAGAATATATACTTTCAGGTGTGTAAATTCGGGTGTGTATTTTTGTGCCAGTATGTTAAGCCAGAAGATGTAAGGAATTGGCAGATATACAACTGATACCATTAAAGGCGTACGAAAAATTAAGTCGCAGATCAGATCAGATATTTCTAAAACTAATCAAATTATTATTATTATTATTATTATTATTACTAACTTTAATTATAATTTGCAATGGTAGAGAATGTATACTTGCAATTTGTTAACACCTTCCATCTCTATAAATACATCGGGATGAATATCTTGAATGTTGTTGTTTTCAAATGACCTGAAAATATTATTTGTCTATAGTAATTGGAAGTACAACACAATAAATTTTGTAAAAACAAAAAGTATTTACTAAAATTAGATAAAGTTGACTAAAATTGGCTAATGTAGGTCTATACAGTCGGCATTTTGTAACAACAATACCGCATACTGTATCAATAATAAAATTACCAAGTAATTTATTTGCGAATATCATTTATAAAATAGTATTTATTCAAAAGTTAATATGTATTACATAGCTGACTTTTATGTAATATTTTATCGTTGTTCATTAAAAAAAAAAGTTGATTTTAAGCTGTTTATTTTAAGCTTGGAATCGTACATTGTGGCAAGGCCCGAGGGTTTGTATTAGTTATTATTCCTGCAAAATCCACGATCTAGGTCCTAGGCCTACAAAAACGAACCACGGAAATACTTCCCAAATAGACTGTGTTGTTATGACTATACTATATTGTTTATTATTATGGTTATTACTAAAATGGCTAAATGGAATGGTTTATAATTGTTTTGATCACCAAAAATGTCTCAGGAGGTCAATCCGCTGGCAGGCTAGGCATACACACCGCCGCTTCACTCTATCGTATATACAGTAGAAAACCTATTAAGGGGACACCTTCGGGACTCTAAAAGTGTCACTTTAATAGGGGTGTCCTCTGAAATAATGGTCCCCTGAATAGGGTTACCCCTATTCAGGGGACACTAAACAAAATGTGAAATCGTCCTCTTAGTAAGAGTTTTTGGCATGTTTTCGTATAATGATGTCACAGATTTTTATAATTTTATTTTAATTGACCTAAGAATGAGTTTAATTATAACTAATTTATAACAATAATTTGAAATGCAAAAAATAATTCATTTAAGATATAAAATTAACAGATATGTAACTACAAAATTTGTGTACGTCCCGATATTTTTTCTTTATTCGAGTGTAATTTAATGACAAAATATTGTTTTTAATATTGAGCTTTCTATTGGATGTACAAGATAGAATACTATAATAGATGTTACAAACTCAGAAATCAGGGTGCAGGCTGTCCGGATAATCCTATATCAAAATACACAAAACAAGAAATCTCCATGGTTAATGGTGACTGGTCAAAATTGACAAGATTTTATAATATACAATGTAACACAGGCATCCAATGCCCATTCTAAGCATGGAAAAAAATTATGGTTTGATGTTAAGTTTATTGCTCAAAAGGTAAATAATTAATATG